CGCGTCCGAAATTATTTATATTCGATAGTCGAAAAATGAATAAAATTTGTATAATTTTTGTATATAACATACATAATGTATAAATATACAAAAATATACATTTACGACTATTATTTTGAGAGTGGTTGTATGGTGTCATTTTTCCTTCTTTTTTGTTTTTCATTCGGTGTCCGATACGCATTAAGGCCCNGGGGGGGGGGGGGGAGGGGAGGTAAAGAGATCCTTAATAAATAATAAATGCGATTATATATGATGTGAGGCTAGAAACTCGTATTTTAGCCGTAGTATTACATTCCAATTACTGCATTTTTACGTGTGCTTAAGCTCAAACGATAGTGAATTACACTTAGTACGTAATGTATGCCTTGCAGGAAGTGATCCCGAGTTCAAAAGTTAATTTGGAGCTAAATCGATCAATCTGGAGCTTTGAAGTCTTAGTAAAAGCCTAATACATTAAGTCGAGATCGTGTTTGGAGGTCATGTACCAAGTCTGGATGTCAAAAGAGGATGAAATAATTTCATTCTGGGAAATTTACTCTGCTGCGCCGCACAGTGCGCCGCATAGTGCGCCACATCTGTGCAATTTTCCAACAGTCGTCAGAAAATAGCTCTCTGAACTTCCCCACAAGCGTATCGCACTGTGCGTCGCAGTGTGCGGCGCTGCTACAAATTTTACAGAGCCAAGTCCTATTCGCGCGGGAAAGGGTGTTTTGTCTGGGCCGACCCTACTTGGTATAAATACATGTAAAAACGCTATTTTGAGGACTTTTGACACACCGGAGACCTAGGGAGACTATTTCGGAAGGGAGAAAACGTTTGGAGCCATTTTCGGAGGAGATTATCATCGAATTCTTCATTCTTTCATCTTTACTTTGTAATTTAATTATGCAAATTATTTGGAAAATTATTACTATGAGCATGAGTAGCTAAATACCTAATCTTGGATTTTGATGGAACCTGTTGAAGGATGATTTTCTCGTTATGTTAATATAGATTTGCCGTAGTATTATCTCTATTTGTTCAACTATATGCTTATTGTTGTTGATTGAAGGGCCCTCAATTAGTTGCTCCTATTTAGTGTGCATTACTCGGGAGAGAGTGCATATTTAGGTAGTTGTTGAACATCATCACTCCTAACATATATAAGGGATCAATACAAAGGGTTTAAAGGTGGGATTAGGGATAACAAAACCTTGGGTGCGATCTAAGTGAACTGTACTTAAAAGCTAGCTAGAGTAATTCGGGAGAATATGTCTAGTATATTGTTGTAATTACTCGGGAGAGAGTTACGACAGTCAGCGTGCTCATGATCGATAGAGAAGACTTAGACAAATTTATAGCAAATATAGTGGAAAGGATTCCGACAACATGGGAAATCAGAACCTTAGATCATTCCCATTCTTGCTTACAAATCGTTTATAGCTAGTTCTTAAATACTGCATTTTTTACTATGTAATATTTATTTAATAAATACCCAATTTGTTACTCAAATATCTCTGAAGATTGAATACGTGAATTTCTGTGAGTTCAATAGCTGTGATTGATAGGTTAATTCCTTGTGGGATTCGGCTCCAAACTTATTAACCGGAATATATTTGCAGCGACCGCTTTGTCCTTTTTATAAGGCATAGTTGGGCGTGATTAATATACTTATGGCTTGCACCTGAAACCTTTAATTAAGAATGAGAGAGTACTTACCCCGCCACTATAACCCTTATTTGTACGGGTTGTGGCCATGAAAGAGAACAAAATAATTCTCTTTGGAGCAGCATATAAAACTTAAATTTTTTGGGACATTAACTTTAGACTTGATTCAGAAATATGTATATGAATAATATTCTCAAAATTAATTAATCTGGCCGAAGGTCAAGCCATTAATTTGAGATGAAAAGAGCAAGAAAAAGGGAAAAGATACAAAGGAGGAGATTACTGACACATGATATAGAGGGGGCAGAGCCATTTGATGTTTATGTATTCTAAATTTACATTGAAAACTCATAGTTCGTCTCAATTACGGGGTTCGTATATATATATATAAAAGAAATTAACCTTAATAGGCGGCGACGTGAAAGTGACTTTTTTGGGGTCGTTGCGTTTTCTTCGTTGGGAATTAAAGAGATTTTAAATTTTTTCGATCACTTTATATTCTTTTCTCATTTGCCAAGACTTAGACGAGTGAACTTGTTATAATGACAAATTAAAAGCCAGTAACTTTTTCCAGCCGACGTCCATTTCTCTCTTAGTAAATTTAATTCGGACTAAGGCCCTTTGTCCATAAATTCTTTTTCTTTTTTCACAACAAAAAAAAAATCAGAAATGTATTTGTCCATAAAATTTTACAAGTTTTTGAAAATTATTTGAAAATAAGTTTTTCAAAATATGAAAAGTGGTTTTGATCGTTTTGTCAAAATTTTCAAAACAAAATTTTCCCAGTTACAAAACTGCAATATTTTTTCTAATAAAATGCATGTCCAAACATAATTTCAAATACCATTTTTCAACTTAACTCCAAATACTATTTTTCTCAAAATTTTAATTTTTATGTCCAAACGCCTACTATAACACAATATAACTCGTTAAATAAATAACTACAAAATAATTCTTCTAGAAAATATTTTATTTGTCTTTTTGCGCTCCAAAAGATTCACTAAATTTATTTTAATGATACCAAACTATACTTTTTTATATTTTCCAAATTTATAGTATTTTAAAATTATTTTTAAGTTTTTTGTAGTTTTTTTTTGCTATTTTATTAATATATAAGCTACTAAAATTTAAAAATTACGGGGCTTAAGTCAAATACCCTGAGGTTTATGGTGCACTTTATACTAGGTAAAATGCCTCACTTTTTTAAAAGCTGATCAATATTTATTAATGGAAATCAACTAGAGCTATTCCTATAAGCATTTTGATCTTGATTTAAATGAAAAAAATACATAGTCGAATTAAATTAATCATCGAAAAAAAAAAGGAATGAAATTAATCAAGTTGAAGTCATAAAAGACAATAATCAAGTCATGCCAATTGCATCCGTAAATACTTCTGTGATGACTCTAGATAAAGGTATAATTTAATTTGGACAAAGAAAATAAGAAGAAAGACAAAGTATGGTAATATGAGAGACAAGAGTAAACAGTAAGAAATTAGGAAAGACTAAATTATTCGTGCGAAATGCCTAAGAAATTAGGAAAGATTAAAATATTTGTGCGAAATGCCTAAGAAATTAACAAAGTATAAAATAGAGAATAAGGGCATCAAATATTTTCTTTAGATTTAATGACTAGTTTAATTGTTGGGTCTTAACAAAATTAAAAGAGTTGTTGGGGTTGGAGGGAATAATGCCAAATAAGAACATTGAAAATGCAAGTATATTCAAGCAAATGCAAGTACTTATATTATTATGGAATATTGTAATTTATTTGACTTTTGCGATTATTTTGTTGAATTGGAAATATAAAATATTTATAATTATAGAAGGGAAATTAAATTGAAATATTACAAATCCTTGGAAGCTTTCACCACAAAAGAAATTCGTGAGAAGTTCTTGTACAACCCCAAAATGAATACTAGGATAGGGAAAGGAAAAATTCACGGGTTGTGGCCACTCTTTGGGCTTTTTTCACTTATAGCACGTGTCAGAAACTATTTACATTCCGTAGTTCGAAAAAATATACTCCCTTCGTTCCAATTTATGTGAACCTGTTTGATTTGACACGGAGTTTAAGAAAAAAATAAGATTTTTGGAATTTGTGGTCCTAAACAAGTTAAAAAGGGGCTCAGAGTATTTGTTTGGTATAAAAGCTTCTCGTTAAGGGTAGAATTGTAAATTTAAGCTAAATTATTACCAAATTTAGAAATGTGTCATTCTTTTTAGAACGGACCAAAAAGGAAATAGGTTCACATAAAGTAGAACAGAGGGAGTATAAAATTTGTATAATTTTTGGATATAACATACATAATATATAAATGTACAAAAAATATACATTTTTCGGCGATTATTTTGAGAGCGGCTGTACAGTATCATTTTTTCTTCTTTTTTGTTTTTTATTTGGTGTCCGGTACCCGCATTAAGACCCGACTAAATCCAGATTGCACCGGGAAGTTCCATATTAGGGGGTAAAGTGCTCCATAACAAAGACGACTCTATACCCAGAACTTGAATCTGAGACCTCTGATTAAAAATGAAAGAATACTTACCGCTCCATCACGACTCTTATTTGCACGGGATGTGGCCGTGAAAGGGAACAAAATAATTCTCTTTGGAGCAGCATATAAAACTTTTGAACTAAACACAAATTTATGCACACGTCTTAAATTTTTTGGGACATTAACTTTAGACTAGATTCAGAAATATGTATATGAATAATATTCTCAAAATTAGTTTACCTGGCCGCATTAGTTTAAGCTGAAAAGAGCAAGAAAAAGGGAAAAGATACAAACGAGGAGATTACAGACACATGATATAGAGGGGCAGAGCCAAGTTTATGGATTCTAAATTTACTTTGAAACTCATAGTTTGTTTAAATTACTGGTTCGTAATTAAATTTGTATATATATATATATATTTGATGAATTTTCCAGTACAAATACAATATTTAAGCAAAAGTGACTAGTTTTGGCCGAACCCGCACCTAATAGGCTAGCTCCGAACATATATCACGTATAATCACTGAACTGTATCTTATTTTTTGTCAACATCTCCTATATATATTTAAAAAAAATTAACCTTATATATACAATATAATCTCTCGGTGAAGGGGGTTCGGATAAATCCCCTTCCGCCCACCTAGCGCCGCCACTGCTCGGTCCCCAAGGCCGAATGCAAAGGCCTCAAATCAGAACCAAAACTTGATTCATTCAAACCAAAACCAACAGCAGCCCGGGTCTTAGCTGCAGCAATTCAAGGAAAAGCAGAACAATCTCCTCACAGAAGATATTCCGCCGCACTACAACATTATGCATATACAGCTACAAAGTGCATACATTTGTTCAAAGCAGTATATCATTTCACTCCATACCTAAATAATGATCAACACTTAATCAAAACATACTGAAGTACAATAAACTTATGGAGTACTTAAATTATATCACATTTACAACTTGATATGGAGATCTAACATATTCTCTAAGTAAACTTCTATCTTGATGGAAATCAACATATTCTCTAAGTAAACTCCTATCTTGAGCAGAGATGCTTTATCGCAGTTCATAGCACTATGGACATCGAACAATCTTAGTGGAAAAGATGACATACAAAGCCAACAGAACAATTAGAAAGCGATAAAACCTGGTGCAAGGGACTTCAATGTTTTATGAAACCGTCTACCCTAATATTATCCTTCCGCGATAGAAACTTCATGCAAATAGGCGGATTCACCCCTGCTAAAGCTAGTATCGAACTTGGCAAGGTCCAGATTCCATCACCACAAATTAGTCCAGATGCAACGGCAGGTCCAAATGCATCAGCCTTAACCTTGTCTATCTTTGTCCAGACGAACAAGATCAGGCTCCCGAGACACATATCAATAGCAAAGTAGGATCCAAGATAGAACGGTATAGCCATTGCCATTGGAAGAGGAATATACTTTGCCTTGTTCTTTCCTACAGCGTCCCTTAAGGCGTTGATGGCAATAGCTCCAAGGAAGAATACGTAACAAAGGGTGAGACAGTTTTTTGGTAGAGCCGAGAAACCTTCGACCCCTAAGATAGACATGTTACGATAGACGAGAGCATAAGGGGCAGGATATTCCGAACCTGGAACACCTAAGTCATGGAAAGCCTTGTAGAAGAGCCAAAATACACAAGGGGAGATAACGCAGCCCATTGCTGTTCCGATTATCTGGCTTATGAACATGGATCTAGGAGAAGCCAACGTCATGTAACCGGTTTTGAAGTCCTGTGTTAGGTCGGATGCAGTGGAGACTATGTTCATCATAACACCACAAGCAGCTAATCCTGCTAGAACTCCGCCATGAGCGGCCCCGGCCCATGTTCCAATTGTGAAAATGGCCAGCTTTCCATACGTGGATGCCAATGACCAGTCGGTGAGACCACAGCCATAAGCATTGCAGAAGGCTAGTATTGGTGCAAAAATATAAATTACCACGATGTAGTACCATTTAAGTTGATGGAAAATATGCGGAAGTGTTACAGTGGAGACGATGGCAATGCTAACGTAACCAGCTATTGCGACCCACGTAGGGATTTGATCCTTAAGGAAAAGCTCGGTTCGTATCTGATCATCATAAGATAAAGAAGGCTCTATAGGAGATCCACGGGCACCAACAGGAAGGACGGACCCTGCTCTTTTCTCACGGATTTGGAAATATATACCATATAACGTTCGTCCAAGTACTTTGCAAAAGTTGTATAGACCATCACCAAGGATCATGGCAATCGCTATGAAGACCTGCAATATACAAGAGCATTATGGAAACACGATAAGCCTCTTTTAATTTTTATAAAAGAATTAAAATTGTCGACTCATATTCATCGTTCTGCTCCAAAAGAGAAGGCGAAAAAGGGAGATTACCCTATAACCTTGTATGCCGTGAAGGCTGCTGTCGCTTTGATTAGCCGGGTACCAATGACCTTTTCTGTCTTGAATAAGAGGCCACATTATACCCCATGAAAGGATAGCTCCAACTAGCAAAGATATGTTGATCAGATAAGGACATATCATCCCAACACCAACATATGTTGCCGAGAAGTCAAAGTAAAACCTGGTCGAATGGAGAAATAAGGTCAAACGATTAAAATGATAAACAGGAAGAAAATAAGTTATCTCGTGTAGAAAAAGAACGAGTTGAGAGGTCCTACTGAGAGACAGATATCAAGAGCAAACAAATATTACCTGTTCTCGTAGGCTTTGAGGCCGAATGTGGGGAAATTCACAAAACCACAGCCATCTCCTGCTGTGAAAAACCATTGGAAGAAACCCCATAAGAAGCTGAAACTGAAAAACTTTCCCAAAGCTTTTACTTGTTTCCTGCAGTTAGCAATAAGGAAAACAAGAATTAGTACTGTCATTTATAAGAAACGACCGTCTAGTAAAATACGTATGAAACACTCACTTTGCTAGCTTAGCTCCTTGTGGTGTGTGGAAACTGTTGATCAGGTGAGCAGTTGCAGTTCCACTTGGATAAATTAGTTTGAAGTCTATGATCATAATCTGAAACATATAATACATTATCTCAATACTGCAATTTATATGAAAAAAGAAGAATAACTGCATCATCAGTTGTGAGCCATTCATTCCAAACTACTTATCGCACAGCTCCAAACTTTGAATCTTTTCTCTACCTCTCAAAAAAAGAACAGATGAAAGTCATGTCTTATGAAAAGGAAAAAGGTCAAAATTTGCCCTGTACTACCCCAAAATTTCCTCACTTTGTCCTCTATTACAATTTAAGTCCATTCATATCCTTGTCGTTAGCAAGATAAAAAGCATCCCAATGCACAAGGCATCCCGCATTACGCAGAGTTCGGAGAAGGGCCACACCCAAAGGATGTGATGTAGACAGCCTACCTAATACAAGCATTAGTGGCTGCTTCCGCAACTTGAACTCGATCTATAAGGGCAACAACAACAACAACAACAACAACGACAACGGCAACAGTCCAGTGTAATCTCACTAGTGGAGTATGGGGAGGGTAGGATGTATGCAGATAGGAGTGGCAAACGGGCGGGTCGGATATGGTTCGGGTCGAAAACGGGTAATGAAAAACGGATCAATTATCCGACCCCACTCATATTTAATACGGATAAAAAACGGGTTAACCGGCGGATAATATGGGTTACCCATATTATCCATAACCTCTTGTATATGATCACTTTTGGTAGAATTCTTAGTCTCCCTAACTTGAGGAACCTCCAATTTGAGGCTTTACAAATGTAAAAGTTAGACCCACTGGTTATCCATGGTTATCTATTTTCTAAATGGATAATATGGTTCTTATCCATATTTGACCCGTTTTTAAAAAGTTCATTATCCAACCTATTTTTTAGTGGATAATATGGGTGGTTAACTGTTTTCTTTTAACCATTTTGCCACCCCTATATGGAGACCTCACCCCTACCTGGAGAAGGTAGAGATGCTGTTTCCGGAAGACCCTCGGCTCAGGCTGACCTATAGGCGCAAACTGTCTCGTATTATAGGGGCAAATTTGAACCTTTTTCCCATATAAAAGTTTGAACAAAGTATTGACTATAGCCTATAGAAGTTTCATTGTGCTAGAAAATATGATAGTATAACATATGGATTAGAGATGTCCTGAGTCAAGAATGTACCTTACGAAGAGGAACCACAGAGAAAAGTCCAAGAAAGCTAACAACAAAAAGGAAACTAATCATCCATCCCAAAGAAGGGTTCTTGATATTATCTGCAGCATTATCTTCATTTGATTGTTTAGCAATAACTTCACTCATGCCAAAAAGATAGCTTCCAAAACCTCCTGCTCATCAAAGGTAATATGCAAATAAACCAAATATGAGCTATTGCATTCTGAGCTGCTTTTAGCACCTTAAAAAGAACTGGAAGAGAAGAGGTTAATTTCTCGTATGGTTTAATATGATGTGATACTATCCGTTTTAGGGCTTGCGCGCACTCCTCACACCATTAAGAGTATCCAATGGTGTGAGGTTGGGTGTAGCCCTTCCCGGAGCTAGCGTGAATGCATGATGCTTTATGGAGCGGACTGACTTTTTTTTTTACTTTCCATATAGGGCTTTGTTCACACATTCATCAAATTTATTGCTCATATTTCAAATCAGTGGGAGCAATCTTCTTTTCCATCTTATAGTTTGGACTTCTTAATTATTTTTTAAATTCATCAGCTAATAGGAAAATACTTGATTAAAATTCAAAAACTTGTAGAGATTATAGCCTAGGTTCCAATAACAAACAATTTAAGAAACATTACAGAAGGCATAAAATTGTCATATAATTCTTTAAGCAATTTTAGCAATTTCTCCAATTTTAGCAACCATTATTTCACTTGAAATACTCTTCAAAAAAATCTTGAAAATTTCAAAAGTATTTCAAGTATTGAAGTTCAGCGGTGGACATAGCACGACGACTTCTTTCGAGTTGGACTATAGATAATTAAATGATTTTAAATACGAGTTTCTTTGTGTGTTTTATATTAAACGTTCGACATGCTGTTATGCAGTAGTAGTGGACATATAACTTAAGATTAAGATCCTTAATCTGGATCTAGCCATGTCAGTAGTATGGACAAAAGGGTTATTTTTTGCCAATATTCTAAAGCAATAATAATTCTCCTATATATGCAGTTCTTCTGGATATACTATATATATCTCGGATATAGCATATCGGAAAGAACTTCTATCTCTATAAGGTATAGACTACCCTTATCAGACCTCACACTGTGGGAATATACTGGTTGTCTGCATATACACTACCCTCCCAAACTCCACACTGTGAGAATATACTGGACGTCTACGTATACATTATCCTCCCCACACATCACACTGTGAGAATATACTGGTGGTTTGCATATACAGTACCCTCCCCAAAACTCACACTGTAATAATATACTAGGCGTTTGTATATACATTATCTTTCCCGGATCCCATTGTATACAATATCACGCATATAATTGTGGAAAATGATGATCAACATTATTAGGTTGACCCACCACTTGCGGGGATGATAACAAAGATCTAAAATAATGTGTGTAGCAAATTTCCAGCTTGCGTAAATGGTAATCACACTAGTCCAACAAGTCAAGTAAATGACACTCCAGTTGTTGCAATGACTTTTAAATTAGTCAATAATTCACACTATTGACTAAACTCATTAATTATTATTTTTCAGAATCCAAGAATATACTAATTCATCAACCTAATTATTTTTTTAATATTATATACAGAAATTGATCGCAAAGTTTAAATCACAAGTCATCTTAGAAAGGGACGTACAAGTGCAAAGTGTAATAAGAGTAGTTTTAAATAAATTAAGATATATAGGTAAAAGTGTTTTACCTTTTTTGCTTAAAAGTGAATGTTATATTTCTATAATTTAAATTAAATTTTGATTCTAACATTTTCATTTCATTCTTAATGTCACTTACTAACTTGACATGCAAATTGAAAGGGTAAATCTTTTACTTGTTATACACATTTTATTTAATTTATGACCACAGGAATGAAAAGTACCTTTTACATATAATCTAAAAATTTATGTCCAATCAAATTAAAATTTAACAAAATTGATAAAATATTAAAGAAGAATAATGACAAGGGCTTTTACGGCTATTCTAGAAATTGACATTTAGCCTAACGAGATGAGACCACCTCCATAGAACCCCACACACCTTTAATTTTCACACCCGTAAAGGATAAAGTAAGTATTTGGATAATATTTGATAGAAATTTTAAGAAAATATTATTTGAAATTTAAAGTTGATTTTTTTTTTTTTAAACAATTCATTTTCGGACATGACTTTCATATGAAAAAAACATTATTTTTAGTAGTAAAAAATTATTATTTTATTTAAAATATTTTTCACTTGAACAAGCTAAAATAACGTAAGTGAAATAATTACAGTTAGACCTTTCTATAACAATATATAACATCCATTGACTATAAAAGTCAAGTTTTTTATTGAAATAATTTTCATATTATGTTATAATATATGTTCTATAGAATAACACTTTGTTATAACAGTCAAAATAATTTCTATCAAATGAGGTTGTTATAAAGAGGTTTGGCTGTATGTATTTTACTTAAAAACTCTTTTTAGAATATTTTATATTTTGAATATTGAAATTTAATATTTACAAATACTGATGCCTAAATTCGGTGATTTTTATACACTGTGGAGTCCACAAAGCCAGCACAAAGCAAGAAGCCTAAAGAGAAATAAACAAATATCCCGTGGACCAAATAATGACATAGTAGATTTCCAAAATTACAGCATGCATTAATGGCGATGTCACTTTGTTTCTTTCTCCATTTAATAGCAAAATGAGATAAACATATGCTTTGACAAAAAATACAAATCAAACTTTATTTCCAACCCCATCTTCATGGAAAGTGATTTCCACGTTAAGTAAAAACCTCTCATCAGCTAAACAAACTCTTTTGTGAAGTCAAACTTAAACTGATTTCTCTTTTAAATTTAATCTAATCACTTAAAAGATAATTAAAGGTAACCGTCAAAGTAAAATTAGTAACGTAAACAAAAGACAGATTATTTGCTACTATTAAAATTTTACTACACCCTTCACTCAAGTAAACAACGCTTATAGGAAGAAAAAAAATTACATCGATATATTATACTTTCTTGACTAGGTCCGACCAGGTTATAATAAGAAAATATTAAAAAAATTTAATACATGTCGGTGAATATAACTAAAAGTTTAACTATTTCTATACAGTAATAGAACAATAACGACCCAATAAAATTTTATTAGTGGGGTTTGGAGAGAATAATATGTACGCAGACCTTATTTATGCTATACACTAATAATAGTAGTACTATTATTATATTAGTAAATTAAAAAGACAATTACAATTATAAGTAACTCGAAAAATAAGTTGGTTAAGCGACACTGACAATATTATTACACTATCAGTTAAATCTCGTAAAAGTTACGGGAACATCAATAACAACAAATTCAGTGTAATTTTATAAGTGGGGTTTAGAAAGACGAATATGTACGCAGCCTTACCCTACCTTACGAAGGTAGAAAGGTTGTTTCTGATAGACCATCTGCTCAAAAAAGCAGAGTCTTATAAAAATTAATCATGTTTAACTTGCATAATTTTTTGAGTAGGATAAAGAGAGGATGAAATTAAACTAAAGAATTACTTACCACTAAAGGCTATGCCAGAAGTTGCAACAACACAAGTCTGAATAACTGTATTTTCTTGACGAGTAAATGGCTGTTTTAGCCAACCAGATTTCTCAAGAAACTTAGTCCAAGTTTTGACAAAGAAAAACCCCAAAAGACCAGCAGAAACATTAAGAGAAGGGATAATTCCAGTAGTGAGATTTAATTTCATAACAATGAAAGTGAATAGAATTCCCAATATAAAGCTCACAAAAAATGCTCTGAATGTTAATTGACTTTGCCATGTTGGAACTTCTTTTGACTCAAAAATTCTTTCTACAGATTGTGTAGATTCTTCTTCTTGTTCTAAATGGGATTCATTGGTTTTTTTGGTAAGAAAATCAACTTGAGAATTTGTATTATTTGTTGAGTATTCATTAGAAGGATATGGTTCTCTTCTATTGACACTATTATTGGATCTATCCATGGTTTTTGTGGTGTATACGAAAAGTATACTCTTTTCTTGGTGTTGTTTAATTTTGCTTTGTTTTCTTGAAATGAGGATTGGTATTTATTGAAGAAGAAAGAAATATGAATAATAATGCGTGCTACTAAGTGGGTCCGACTATATTGTATACAATAAGGTATTTTTCATGTCCAAATTAAAGGAAATGGTTGTCCTTATCAGGTTGTGGGTGGGTAGGAATTGGGTTTGG